AACTCTTAGGCTATGTCTACACTGGCAGCTTCTTGCGCAAGAACATCTTGTGCAAGGGTTCTTGTGCAAGAAGTCTTGCACAAGAACATGTCCACACAGCCATGTGCGAGCTGTGCTTTTGCGCAAGAGCATCCATGGCAGTGTGGACGCTCTCTTGCGCAGGAAAACTCCAATGGCCATTTTAGCCATAGGGGTTTCTTGCGCAAGAAATCCCTGCTGAGCATCCACACTGCCCTCTTGCGCAAGAGACCTAACACCTGTTAGAAAAGAGCATAGCTCTTGTGCAAGACACCCTCTCTTACCACACCGTACTGTAAATTTCCTTGCATAAGAGCAGGCGGGCAGTGTGGCTGCTCTGTGGGTTCTTGCGCAAGAACGGCTTTACTTGCGGAAGTTTCTTGCGCAAGAAATCCCTGCTGAGCATCCACACTGCCCTCTTGCGCAAGAGACCTAACACCTGTTAGAAAAGAGCATAGCTCTTGTGCAAGACACCCTCTCTTACCACACCGTACTGTAAATTTCCTTGCATAAGAGCAGGCGGGCAGTGTGGCTGCTCTGTGGGTTCTTGCGCAAGAACGGCTTTACTTGCGGAAGAACCCACAGAGTCTAGACGTAGCCTTAGAGGGAACATTTCCCCCAGCCTCTCTGCCCCCAAGTTAATGTCACACACATTGGGTTAATGAAATTGCATGATAGTTGCATGAGAGGAGTTTGGTGGGGGCCAAACTAATCCCTGTTGGTAGGAGGATGCTGGGAAAAGTCCTTCAAGAGGGGTGACATGACACCTTTTACCTCTGGTCATGTGTCTTGCCCTGAGCATGTTACCTCCAGAGGCCTGGTTAACAGGGCTCGGGGTGTGGCTAATGGGGCACCACCAAAAATTATATAAATCTGTGGCCCTGCCAGCCCCAGAGGAGGAGTGCGTCGGCCGCCTGTGCGTGTGTGATTTTTTGTGCTGTGTTTGCTCAATCAAAAAAATTCCCGGGGCCCCATGTTGAAACTTTTGTGTGCCTTTTTTTTTTTTTTTTTGTTCAACCAAAATTGCTGCGGGGTCCTGTTGAAATTGTTCTAATTGGGCCCCGCACTTCCTAAAGCCGGACCTGGGGTCAGCCTACTGGCCTGCTGAGGCTGAGTTGCTGTGGCAGCTGCAGTGTGGCTGGAGGCTATGAGGGTTTGCTTCGTGCCACAAGCCCTTTCCCCTGTGTATGCAGCTTTAAGAGCTGCAGGGGAAGAGAAGAGGAACTATGAAGTCCTGAGGAATGTGAATGGAGTGGCCAGCAAGGCACCTGTGGGATTTCCTGGAGGCCCCTTATTTCAAAATAACTCCCTGTGTCACATCCACACATTCCCTATTCCAAAATAGCTATTTTGGAAGAGGCGTTATTCCTTGTGGAATGAGGATAATGCTAGTTATCTAAGGCCGTTCATTATTTTGAAATAAGGGAATGGCTATGTAAATGCTCACATTGTTATTTCAAAATAATGCTAGTTATCTTGAAATAACGGTGCAGTGTAGACACATCCTGGGTGGCTCTGCAGGGGCCAGTCCAGCCCATAAGGAAGTGCTCTGGAGTGGCAACTATCTACAGTATTTTACAAACACATTGATAAAACAAGTCCTATGACAGTTGTGTGAAATGAGTGATCAGTCCCATTGCACAGATGGGAAAGTGAGGGGTAGTGAGTGACAGTTAGACATTAGACCAACACCTTCAAGGCTTGAAGTCTCTCTTCACAAACACACATACACTTGAGAATTCCCTTTTTGTAAGGGCCCAGTTTCATCTGGCATAGGCACAAGGTGGTTTTTGTGAGGGTTTTTTTTTTTTTTTTTTTTTTTTGGAGCAAGCTCCTGTTCTGACCCCCTGCTCCAAAAATCCATTTAATATAAAGGTCTCAGAGAACATATCAGATATTGAACAGATTAACATTTATTTAGAGAATGTTTGCAAACAAACAACAGATACAAGTTAACAGTAGAGCAAATAGACACATCCAGAGACAGGTTATGAGGTTAGGGTGAAGGGGTACATGGTTTACATTACAGCAGCAGCGTGACTTTTGAGCCCAGTGCTTTGGTTCCAAGACCCCGTGCCGTTTTACTTTGTGTATGCCATGGGTATGATCCACTTACAAAGCAGCCGCATCGTCCAGAATACCAGTTGTGCCCCTTATATGGCCTAAAGAGTACATATGTAAATTCTGGGGAATGATGGGGAGGAAGTAGGTGGAGTTACAGTGTGTGGCTTTTGGAGAGCCAGCAGAGCATAAAGGGAGCATGTGAAGCCCCGGATGAAGATAGTAAATGGTTTGTGTAGAATCCCAGTATATATATATAGGTGGGTGGGGGTGCTTTCCCTAGGGAGTAGACCTACCGGTTTTATTTAGTAGAACTATGATATTAGGGTAATTGAAGGCCCCATCATCTGCCTGATTTTAGTATCCCCAATTAATTTTTGGGGAGAGGTATATACAAGATCCCTTGGGGGATACAGCCTGGGCTCTCCTGAGGTCTGATCCTTGTCAGAGTTTTTGTGGAGGCCCTGGCTGACAAAGGGGGATGCAGCCGGCAGCAAGCCTGACTGAATCCCAATTGGATGGGTAATTTATATATGTAAAGTCCGTGTGTCGGGGAAAGACCAATGCATTCTCTGGTCTTCCATGTCCCTCGGAGTCCTCTTCCTCCGTGTCCGTGTCCTCTTGTGAGTTTCTAGCCACGACTGTTGTATGGGCACGGCCCTCTGGGGGGAAAGTGGGTGAAGTTTCCCTGGGAAGCCCTGGCCCCTTTTTTTCCACAGTAGGTGGCATTAGCTCAGTCCTTGGGGGGAGGAAAAACTCAAAAAACCTCCCCTGGTGGTGTATGACACCGAGTCCTTACGTCTTCTCCGTCCCTTGGTGTGCTCTTCTGCTGCTTCCTTGTTCTTGATGGCTGTGTCTACACTGGCCTGAATTTCCGGAACTGCTTAAAATGGAATACATTCCTTTTTAAGTTTTTCCGGAAAAGGAGCATCTACATTGGCAGGCTGCTTTTCCGGAAAAGCCCTTTTTCCGGAAAAGCATCTGTGGCCAATGTAGACGCGCTTTTCCGGAAAAGAGCCCCGATTGTCATTTTCGCGATCAGGGCTTTTTTCTGGAAAAGACTACTGGGCTGTCTACACTGGCCCTTTTCCGGAACAGTGTTCTGGAATAAGGACTTATGCCCGAGCGGGAGCAGCGTAGCTTTTCCGGAATAGTGGCTGATTTTGTACCGTAGAGCATCGTTGCTTTTCCGGAAATTCAAGGGCCAGTGTAGACAGCTCGCAGCTTATTCCGGAAAAGCAGCTGATTTTCCGGAATAAGAGGCCCAGTGTAGACACAGCCCCTGGGTTTATCTCTATAGCTGTTGTGGGCAACAGAGCCCTCCAGGAGGGGTAAGAAGGGTGAGTTACCCCTGGAGGTGCCCCTGCCAGATCCCCCACAGCAAGGCTATGTCTAGACTGCAAGCCTCTTTCGAAAGAGGCTCTTTCAAAAGATACTTTCGAAAGAGCCTCTTTCGAAAGAGGCTTGCAGTCTAGACATAGCCTTGCTGTGGGGGATCTGGCAGGGGCACCTCCAGGGGTAACTCACCCTTCTTACCCCTTTACATTGAAGAACGCCTTCTTTCGAAAGAGGAACTTTCGAAAGAAGGCGTTCTTCCTTGTGAAATGAGGTTTACCGCCATCGAAAGAAAAGCCGCGTTCTTTCCATTTAATTTCGAAAGAACGCGGCTTGAGTCTGGACGCAGGGGAAGTTTTTTCGGAAAAAGGCTACTTTTCCCGAAAAAACCCCTGAGTCTGGACACAGCCCAAGTAGCAGCAACTTAGATCCACTGTTGCCAACAAAGTTACAGTTCCAACCTATCACAGAAACCCAAAGATCAAGTACAATCCCAAAGTTCAAAGTCTTAAAGACCAGGGACCAAAGTCCCGATGTGGTCCACAGAGTCAGAGTCTGTGCTCAGTCCCAAAGATTTTCATGTCCCTTGGCATCCCCTTCCTCTGTATCCCTGTCCTCTGTTTCGTTGGGGAGCAGCACCTGATGGGGGGGGAGGATGTCTTGACCAGGGTGAAGGGTAGTGAGTCAAGAGAGACCCCGTGGGTGCAACCTGGCCTCACCCTCTGTGGTGAGCTATGAACTTAGACTCCTGGAAGGGAAAAGGAGGGAAAGAAAAGGAGGAAGAATCTCCCCAAAAAACCCTCCCGCGGTCCTGTGTGACTTCCACGTGGTCTTACTTGTCCTGGGATTGCCGGTGGCCCGTGACGTGTTCCGTGTAGATCTCACAGGACCACTGGATACGAGCAGGAGCGGTCAGAGGCCGGCTGCTGGCACCCTGGGCGGCAGCGGCCAAGTCCGCCTGTAGTCACGGGCCACCCCTGGATACTACACTTGATCTTGCCCTGGGACCCGCGCGCTGCTGCTTAGGGGCAGGACAGGGCGGGGCCGGGCAGGGCGCTGGG